ACTCCCATTCCACCCCTCCCTCCCCCTCCCCTTTGCAGACGGTCCCCCTTTTCCAGCCCCCCCCAGGGACTGACCCCCAAGAGTGCCTCACCTCCATCAAGATGGTCCCAATGGTGGATTTCCCCATGCTGAACTGGTGTCCCACTGAGCAGTAGCTGTCGGGGTGGCGAGCTTCCACACAGCAAAAGTGACCCTCTTCTCCAGGGGAATGGCGGGCCGCAAGTGGGTGTCCTGTCATTGGAGGGCGTGGATGAGCCAGGCACATAGCTCCAGGATTGTGGCCTTCTGCGTGCGGAAGTTGCTGAGCAACAGCTGGTCATCCCACCACTCCAGGACGAGGTGGTCCCACCAGTCAGAACTGGTATTCAGCCTCTAAAATCGCCTCTCCGACAGGAGGCTTGGGGGCAAGGGCATTGGTCCTGCATGCAGGTCAAGGGTCTCAAGGTTGAGGTCTAAGTCCAGATGGGGCAGGACTGTCATGATGGTGTGATGGAAGTGCTACAGAAGCAGCAGTATGACAGTGTGGGGCCATCACCTGCCCTGGGACTCTTATGCCTTTTCCTGGTTTTCTCTTCTATCCAAGGTCTGTTTGAAAACTGCACAAAACAAAGCGAGAGTTATTCTGATTGCCCCTTTTGGCCAAGGTGAGTCTGAGTCCCTTACCTGACACAGATAGCTCTATTCCCTTCTTTTCTCCTTGGCTGAATCCTCAATCTCTCAAAACAAAGCCCTGCTCCTTTTCCCCAACCTGCACGTCCTTCACCTACATGTGTGGCTCCATCTTAGTTCCAAGACTTAGAGGCAGAATTCTCTGATGAGCTAAAAGACGTGTTGCTTACACAGCCTAAGTTGACCACTCAATATACTTACCTACAAAATGGAAATGATTCCAAGTCGTTGTTCATCTCAACACGTAGACCCAATCTTATGTTCTGTCCCTCTGATTTTACACTACATTTTAGACCTCGAGATCAAAACTCTCACTCAGCACCATTAAGCTACATCCTGCAGTGAAAACGTCCTTCCACGACCAGGTAGACAAATATTCAGTGTTGTCTCACTTCTGATGAATAGATTCCTTAAAGGTATTGAGAATCGATTCCCATGTGTGACACCACCCGCTCCAGCCTGGGATCTTAACCTAGTTGTCAAGACTTTGACTACACCTCTCTTTGAGTCTATGACAAATTGGCCTCTTGTACATCTGTACATGAAAGCACATGTATGAGAGATGGTCAATTTCTTTTTAAAAGACAAATTAACTCAAAGGCCATATCTTGAGTTTCTCCCTACCATTTCTGCATTTTCCATATGAATCAACAGATCCATCTCCCTGGGTTTTTTTCCGCAAAACACTTTGTGATAAGAGGGGGATGATTCTGCATATGCTACATGTTGGAAGAATATTCTACTTGGAAAGGACTAAGACTGTTAGGAAATACCCTAATCTCTTGCTTTCATCCACTGAAAGATCCCAAAGCGCTGCAGTGTTGGCTCAAAGACTCTCCAAATGGGTCAAGGATACAATGTGCTTCCGTCCAGAGTCCACATGCACTTCACAAGGTTAATTTCTACCTTAGGAATATCTGTAAGAAATATTCCTCTCTCAGTAACCTGTGGAGTAGCATCTTGGGCCTCTGCCCACACACTCTCAGAACATTATGTGATCACCGAAGATTCAGTCCCTAATTCCATCTTTGACTCCATAGTACTCTAGGTAGTAACAGACTCCACTCCAAAGCCACAGCCTCCAATGGTGAGTACTGCTTGGAGTCACCTATAGTGCAGCTCCCATAGGGACACTACTCAAAGATGAAGAAGTTACTCACCTTGTGCAGTAACAATGATTTTGCCAGATGTGTGTCCCCATGGGTGCTCCACAATCCGCCCTCCTCCCCTCTACTTTGGAATTCTATATCGAGCTCTGCGGTAGAGAAGGAAGTGAGGGGATTTTGCCCACGCCGTGCTCACTAGCCTTGAGGCAGACCACGGGGCGGGAGAGCTCAACAGGCACTCCTACCAAAAATCTGAGTAGAGGCACGGGAGCGCGCATATACCCACAGTGGTGCACCCACAGGGACACACATCTCAAAGAACCATTACTGCACAAGGTAACTTCATCATTTAGTATCTTTCAAGTCACAAATGATTTCCAGGACATATTCTCTTATGAGCTATTTCTTCATGCTACAAATACAGGGAATGTGTAGAGCATGAGAGTTCTGATACTGCCTGTCAGAATAACTGGAAAAGCTTAATTTTGAAACTTTTCCAAAAGAATTAATCATGCCAGTTTTAGTGTTTGCATTGCACATACTGTGCCGTTTGGATGTACTGTAAAATGTGCGAGCTCTCTGGTTGTACTAATATTGCTTTTTTTAGGGGGTTACATTACCAGTTTGGCTTATTACTGTCCCTGTTCGAGTTGTCAGACTAATTGGACACTTTTGCTTCCTGCCTGAGAGAGTATGACTTCCTTCAGTGTCCATAGCAACCTCACGTTTCTCAGCAACCGGGACTTGCTTCTTGTGTTTCCCCCATTCTAGAAATATTACCTCGAAGTATAAGAAAAATGTCCCTTTGAAACAATGAGGAAGGAAGATTTGTATTTAATTATTCAGAATATTAATCAATTAATTATTCATCTGTGTTTTGGCTACTGAGATAATGTATAATGTCTTGACTTGAGCCTTTCCTGTGTATTGTAAACAGCATTCATTTAAAAGCAGAATCACAATACTTTGTGACTTCCAAGCCTTTGGTAGATAAGAAAGAAAGGTAAGAATCATTACTGTTTTTGAAAAGAGATTGTATTTACAATTACAGCATGAAAATAATTTCCATCCCCCCTAAAAAAATAAGAAAATGTTTTATATTGCTATGTTTTATTCTGTATTTAAACACCCTGAATATCTTGCCTGACTAAGGAAAGCAGAATTGGGCCTGTTGATCTTCTTCTATAGGTATCTTTGCCAGCCTTTTTATATGCTTTATCTTAATGATTTTTTCATATTTAAAAAAAAAATTGATGCCAGGATATATTCTAAAGACCCAATTCTGCAAACACTAATGCAAATGAGTAACTTTAATACATGTGATTGTTCCCACTAACTTCAGTAGAATGGCTTATGTGAGTAGTGTTACTTATACCTTGCACTTCTGTTGTGACTTATGTTTGCAGATGAGTTCTAAAGGTGGTATGAATTCTGCCGTGCATATTCGTGATTTATCTTATGTTATTACTTTGTTTGCTTAGGGCCTACTTAATTATTAAATAAAACACTTACTGTTAGACTTATTGTTATTGACATCAGATCTTACTGAAATTGACAGGAGGTGTAAATGCAACTATTAGTTCATACCTGAAAAAATATTACTTTTACATAAAGTATGTGAAATAAAAAGGTATAGAACAGGTATTAACTTGAGACAAAATCCTGTTCACCTCTCAAGTAGTAAAGGCACTCACGATTTAATTACCTCTCTTTCAAACACAAAAGTTTATACATTCACAGAGTGTGTAGGTGTGATAATGTAATAATGCCTTAAACACTTTGAACCAAATGCATTGCTGATGCAACGCCATTGATATCTGAGGCTCAGTGCTTCAAGATGCTGAACGCTCTAATCCAGGGGTAGGCAAAAGGGCCTACCCGGGCCAGATCCAACCCGCCAAGCAGGTGGACCCAGCCTGCGGAGGCTCTGCTGCTCCCCTGACCAAGGCCAATTAGGGCCTGGGGGCAGGGGAGCACCCAAAGCTTTCTTCACTCTGCCCCTGCCCCCTGCCTTAATTGGCCTGGGAGCGGGGGAGCATTCCAAGCCTCTTCCAGAACATGGATGCCTAGTGGGAAAGGGGGGCAAAGGAGCTCCCCACCCGCAGACCAATCATGGTCTGGGGTTGGGGTAGCCCCTCCCCTTTCTGTTTAGGTCCTGTCCCTTCCTGGGTGGCCTGGGGGCTACTTCAAAAATGTTTGAAGTGGCCCCCAGGCAAAAATTATTGCCCACTCTGCTCTAATCCAACCCAGCAAAACACATGAATACATGCTTCACTTTAAGCAATTGAATAGTCCCATTAATTCAATAGGACTACATCTACGCTAACTTCTAGGGCCAGGGTCTCCAACCTTTTTAACCACAAGATCACATTTTCAATGTAAGTGCAAAGTAAGATCTACCTCAAACCCAAATTCCCTTGCCTGGCTTCCTTCCCTCCCTTCTCTGAGGGATCACCCTGCTCCACCCCTTCTCCGAGGCCTCACCCTGCTCACTCCATCCCCGAATCTCATTCCCTTTCACCAGCCTGGGGTAGGAGGTTGGGGTGCAGGCTCTGGTCTTGGGCCAAGGGGTTCAGAGTGTGGGAGGGGATGCCCTGAATGTAGGCAGGTGGGGAGGGTTCAGGAGTGGTTTAGGGGTGTGGGCATTTGCCGGGGAAATGCAAGGTTGGGGACTGGAGTCATCCCCACCTTCCACCCACCCTGGGAATGGCCTGACAGCTAACACAGGCTGTGCAGGAATGGAGCTGGTGTCTGCATTAGAAAAGCAGCATAAGGGACCCTCTGCAGGTACAGGGTGGGGTTCTGGAGTGGCATAGCAGCTAGTCCAGGCATGTCCAAAGTCCGGCCCGCGGGCCAATTGCAGCTCGTGTTCCGATTTAATACGGCCCCCGCTTCCTCCCCCTCTCCTGGCTCCCCGGCGCTCTTTTGAACTGGCGCGCCCAGAGCGCCGCTTCCGGCCGCACCACCGCCGCCGCCCATGGCCTCCACGGCCCTAGAGCCTGCCCTGTAGGGCCCCCTCCCCTGGCCCCCCAGCCCTCTTTTGAACTGGCACGCCCGGCGTCCTCCTTCCAGCTGCGCCGCCGCCGCCCATGGCCTCCACGGCCCTAGAGCCTGCCCTGTAGGGCATGTCCGCAGCCCTGCTCCCCCGCTCGGCTGCGGGTTCGCCCTGCCCCCGGGCCACCGTGAGGCTGGCATGCCCTGCGCTCTCCGCCCGCCTCCGACCCGGCCCTCACGCCTGTTCACTTCTTCAAATCTGGCCCTCTTTGAAAAAAGTTTGGACACCCCTGAGCTAGGGTATTCATCTGGAGAACTCAGAGTGGCAGGATCAAGCCCTGCTAGACTACAGGGTTTTTTTTTAAAGTGGCCTTTTTTGAAAAACACTTCACCTGCATCTAGACTGCCGCCGCATTCTTTTGAAATGAAATTGAAAGAAAGCAGCAGTTTTTTCGACAGCAGTAAACCTCATTTTATGAGGAAGAACGCCTTTTTTCGAAAGAAGCGTGTAGTCTAGATGTACCCTGGAAGCAGCCAGACAGCCAACCACGGGCTGCCCAGGGATGGAGCTGGTGCCTGCACCTGCCTTAGGAAGGCAGGATAAGGGACTTTTGGGTTCTGGAGTGGATTAGGGGCTAGGGCATTCACCTAGCTCAGGGTTGTGGGATCAAGTCCCATCCCTACTAAGGCAGCTCCAGCCCTGCCTCCCTCCCCCAACTCACACTGGGAGCAACCAGACAGCCAACACAGGATAAGGGACTCTCTGAAGGCAATCAGGGAGGTGGGTTCCAGAGTGGCCTAGGCGATACAGCATTTGCCTGGGGAGCTCAGGGTTTGGGGCTTACCACCTGGGAGCAGCCAGACAGCTGGCCCAGAGATGGAGCAGTGGAGTTAAGGCAGGTTGTGCAATCCTGCCCTGGCCCTGCAGCAGCTGGCATGTACAGCAGTGGCTCCATGTGCTGCCTCTCACCTACATGTCCTAGTCCCACAGCCTCTACTGGCCACAGTTCTCTGTTATTGCTCAATGGGAGCTGCAGGAGTGGTGTCCACAGGCAAGACAGTATGTGGAGACCTCCTGCTCTGCCTTTCTCAGGGGCTACAGGGACTTGCCAGCCACCTCCTGGAGCACAATCACCACAGGGATACTTACTCCAGACATGACAGGGTAGGCATTTTAGATCTCACTACTCAAAGAATTAAATTGAAGCATAAGAGAGAAATGGACGTTATTAAATGCACAGACAAGTCAAAATCTGAAAAGAACCCACCTTGCGAGCTGTCCAAGTAGTAACAGCCCCCCATGTACATACGTGCTGGGTCAGGAGATGAGGGAAGGACAGTGTGTGTGTGTGTGAGAGTGACAGAGACACACACAGTGTGTGAGAGTGACAGAGATTTGCATTGCCAAGCTCCCTCCATCCCCTTCTCTCTGTGTGGAGATGGGGTGCAGGAGTGGGGGGATGAAGGACACCTTGACATCAGCACCCCACCCTTCTCTCCCTCCCACATCCTGCACAGTAGGCAAGAGGCTTCCAAGGGGCAGCTCCAAGGCAGAGGGAAGGAGCAGCAGACGGTGGATGGAGGAGCAACTGAAGTGCCAGTATTTGATAGCTTCCCAGCCAAACCAGTCAGGATCAGCTGTCAGAGGCTCCAGGATCTACTGGTAGATCCCAATCTACTGGCTGATGACCACTCTTTTAGGATATGCATAGATGTTTTGGTGGATCAGGCTGAAGTGTTTAACATCTTGCGATATCAAGCCTTAACAGATTTGCTCTCAATGTATAACTTCACTGAAGTCGGTGGAACTCTTACAATTTATATCAATAGTGTGCTTGTCCTATGTATCCTTATACACAATGTCTCTTCTTGCTTTGTTTTGTGTACTTTTGTTGGGAAAAAAAGGTAATTCATGTAACAGAAGCATCTATGTGTTTATGGATTCAAGAAAAGTAAGGCAACCTTAAACGACACCTTTAATAACAACTTGTGCTGTGATGCACTAGCATGTACCTCAGCTGTCCTTGGATAGCATTGATTTCCCTGGAACTAAGTTGTACATCTGCTTAAGAGAATTGGGGTTAGCAGAGCTAATGTAGGATCAGGCCCATAAACTGTAATAAGGAAGAAAGGAAAGAAGAGATGGAATAAAGAGAATTTTAAAAAATGATATTCCTTTCAAAGCAAGAGTTTTGAAAAAGTCTATAAATGAAGAAACAAAAATGCTGGTTCCTTTATTTAAAAAATTAATATGGAAATAAAATTGGGACCCAAAGTGACAGCTTTCACCAAATTAAATGGTTATCAATATATCTACAATGGACATGAGTTTTTCAGACCCAATAATAGATTATTGACTTTCTATGCAATGCAATTGGTATACGTATTACAAGTTGAATCTCTATAGTCCAGCACCCTAGAAAACTAACTGGTGCCAAACCAGAGAATTTGCCAAACCATGTTAGGTCAATGTTATTCAGCAGCATTACCAACACTTCCTCTGCTTACTGAGCTCTTAGAAGACATTTAGGGTAAATTAGCACTAAATAACAGCATAGAATACAAAGCCAGAACTGATGGCTGTAAACAAACTTTATGGGACTGCAGGAAACTTGGCCACACCCATGATAAGTAGACATCTGGGTAACTAAAATCATGCTGGACCACAGATGTGTGGGACCAGAGAGTGTCAGACAAGAAAGGTTCAACCTATACCATGTTAATTTAATAAATAGTGTTCTATGGCTATGAGTGGAAATATACAATATGATGAAAGCTTGGATAAAATTCAGCTTTAATGTCATATTTACTATTAATGTTTCAGATAATTTCCAATTCTGACTAGGTTTCTTATTTCTTGTTCAACTGAACATCAAGATTTTTCACTCTGAATATAATGTTTGAGGAACCTCATAACTCTGTTCCATTGTGCCCCATGTTGCTAAAGGTGAGTGCATAACTAGAAGATAAATGTCACAGGAATTACATACAGCTAAGAATGGAATTTAATTTAATGCATTTCTTTAATGCAATATAAATTGAGAGTAGAGCTTGAAGTCTCCACTGTTCTCAGTGGTATAAGGATTTTTGTTTTCCAGAGCAGGAGTGGATTACAAATGTTTTCCTTTTCCCTTTCTGTAATAATCTTTGAAAAGAAATAAAAACACCTTAGCTGTAGAATTGTATTACGCTTGGAACCATCTAAAAAGTTGAATTATTGAACCATGTGCAATTGAACTTAAGTGACTAGCAGACTTCAAGACATGCTTTCTTCTCGGGTATTATTTACTCTTGAGTGGCTGGTAAAGTTGTATGTGCACATTGGATCATTGAATAACAATAGAATCCTTCCCATCATGTACCTCCACTTAAAATTTCCGTTGAACCAATTTGATTGTCCTCTCACATCAATTTACAATTACTCCTGTTTCACCCTGACTAGGAGAGGGGAGGCTGGCCAGCCCATTGTCCTCAATTGGTGCAGCAACATAATAAGGGGCTCCATTTTAAAGTAAAAACATGTTTAATTTAATCTTGTAAATATATCAAGTAAATTAAGATGCCAAGTTTAAAAAGCTTCTACATACCCTGGCTAGGAGCTGTGATTTAATGATATTTTTGTATGGTTACAGAAAGTCCAGTGGCATCTGTCCATTCTAAGCCTTTCTGTGATGGATCCACACCAGCAAGGTAAATATTATTATCAAGTGCTTCCCACACTTCACAGTGTCCTAACTGGTGAACTTAACAGGAGTTGTTTAATCTTTGAATCTTTGTTATAATTCAGGAGACCCAAACTAATGCTATGTCAGGTCAGCCAGTTGTAGATCATACAGCTTAGAACAAGGATTTCCTGGTTGTGTTATTCTTAGGCTATGTCCATGCTTGCAAGTTTTGGTGATGAAACTGCTGTCAACAGGCAAAAGTCGCCAAAATTGGATACTTGCCAAACTGTTTTTTCTGGTACCCTCTGTCAGCAACTCATGGTCACATTTGCTGTTAGAGTAAAGCATCATGGGTATTCATCCCAGAGTGCTTTGCATCACCTTCACTTGGGAAGTCCTGTGGGAAAGTGCAACATAGCACTAGGCATGTTGGGAACTTGAAAAATGTCCAGTCAGACATTTCTTTTCTTCCCAGACGTCCCTGGGTTTCTGGCTTACTTTTGCACCAACACTAGCAACTGTGGCAAGACAACATGGATCCCAACCTTCTGTCCCTTATTGTAAGCACCGTGCAGAAGAAGGTATGCATTGCAGCATAGCTAATTATGGACCTACCATTGGATGACAAGGACTTGTCAGATTTGTATTCAGATTCATATTAAGATTCACAAGATGATGAATTGATATATCATTGGGCTATGGCAGTTGTTCTCAAACTTTTTGTACTATGGCCCACCTAGCTCAATGTAAACCTTTCCATGGACAACCATTTGCTAACGGAAACTTGCTATTAATTACAAAATTATGCCTGAACCATTTTGCTAGTGCTTCAGCTAAGGAGAATGATTTAATTTAAATTATTCAACAGATTAAGCATTTTAACTTTCTCATGTTAGTTTATCGAACACAAGAGGTTTCAATGTTTCTTTATTTTTAGCTGGAGTGGGGAACCATTTTTGAGTTGGTGGCCACTGGCCCACAGAAAAATCAGTTGGGGACCACACAAGTGAGAAGCAAAAAAACTCCTGCAAACCCCCCCAAACCTCACTGATGTGGCCCCAACTGAGACATCTTATTCCTCTGATGCTCTAGCCCCACAGTGCACGAGGAAGGGACAGGGAGGGCTGAGGTTCAGGGCTTTCCATAGACCAGATTTACTTTTTTGGGATTCTGGAGTTAGTGGATTTAGTGGCCACCTTAGGCTCTGGGGTGGGGACAAAGATGAGAGGTTCGGTGTTTGGGACAGGGCTGCCAGTGAGCGAGATTGGGATGGGTGTGCATGATCTTGGCAGGAAGTGGGGTGCATGAGGGATGAGGGGGTAAAGTCTGGGTGGGAGCTAGGGTGAGCCCTCGCTGCTGCTCCAGCCTCATGTTCACTGTGCAGCCATGAGGCTGGAGCAACAGTCTGGCTTCCCTCTTGGAGCGTGCACAAGGGCAGGGGCAGAAGTGAAGAAAGCCTCAACCTTCCCTGCCAACCCCGGCTCCATGCCAAATTACACATGAGGTCCATGCAGCAGTGGTTAGGGACTGTATACAGACCACATTACAACAGTGTCCACAAACTAGTATCAATCCCGAACAGAATCAATCAATCACTGGACTGGTGGCAGACCCAGAAAACATGTGCGTTGTGGTACCTTTTTACAGACATCCCCCAACCATGACCATCACGATGGATACCTCTCTCCTCCACTGAGGGGCACAATCAGGCCTTCTCAGAACTCAGGGACATTTGTCTCTGCAGGAGTGCACCCTGCACATAAACATACTAGAGCTCAAGAATGGTATTTTATACATGCCAACATTTCCTTCATCTTATACGCAACAGCACTGTGCAGATTTTTACAGACAATCAAGCAACAATGAATTACATCAACAAGCAAGGTGGGGCCAGGTCCCACCACCTATGCAGGGAGGCTGTCCACTCTGTGGACATGGGGCATTGCACAGTCACATACAAGCCTCTTACTTTCCGGGCAAAGACAATCTTACCACAGTCAATCTCAGTCACGAATGGGAAATGGATCCCAAGATTCTATGACAGATTTTCAGTCTCTGGGGATTTCCAATGATGGACTTGTTTGCAACTAATACTATGAGGCCTGTTTTCCACTCTGGCACTCCGAGTATAGAAGATGGGGGCCCACAAGGGACCTTAAATACCTTGCCTCTATAGCCTCTGCTTCCAAAAACTCTCCCTAGTCACAGAGTTACTTACTTGGGGGGTAGCTGCCACCATCAAGTGATTTAACCCTGAAAAAACAAGAGGGAACACTTGAATTCCTTCCTCAGGGGTACCCCAACCTCTTTTGCCCCAAGAAAGCTTGAAAAAAGAAGCAAAAAACACAAAAAAATAAACTATGGGTACATCTAGACTAAATGCCTCCTGGGATGAGGCTTACCTGGGTTGTCGACAAATACCTTTGATGTCGACACCCGCGCGCCCAGACTATCGCGCTGAGCCGACAAACAGCTGATCAGCTGTTTGTCAGCTCAGCGCAGCAGCCATGTAAATTTAAATGAAGCGGCGATTATTTAAATCGCCGCTTCATTTTCCTATGTCTGGTAGCCTAATCTACATGCCTCTGGCGACAGAGGCATGTAGTCTAGATGTACCCTATGTTTCTGATAGCTAACCTCAAGGCTAGGCAAACACACACAGACCTTCTGCTACCTTCCAGGACACAAGAATCAAATCATTGCCTTAAAAAAAATGACTTTATTAACAAAATAAAAAGATCTACTTGACAAAGGATACTTGGTTGTTAGGTGTTACAGAGCAAATAAGAAAAGGGCAGGTCAAAAACACAACAAATCATAGTTCTTCGGGCTGTAACTCAAATGGTGAGTGGGGGATGGAAAGCACAGATTCCCGCAGAGAAGTTTAATTAAACATCCAAAATAAAGAAAAATACCCTGCTCATGACTAAATATATGTTTTTCTTCTACTCACAATCTGTGCTGATCCATACTTCAAGGCCCAGTTAACTCCCATGTCCAATATTTCTTATAGGCATCATAATTCTGATTACTGCATCTGCTCCCTCCAGCCCTTAATTTAGAATTCATCACAAAGAAAGCAGGCAAGGATCTATATACAATTCAGATGTTAGCACTGTATGCCCCTTGTCATCACAAAGAAAGCAGGCAAGGATCTGTATACAATTCAGATGTTAGCACTGAATGCCCCTTCGTTCTTCTTGCCCCCGTCAACACCCTTCGCTAGATACCTGAGTTTAACCCTTTAGTCACCGTGTGCTAGCCAGCACTCCTCCTATCCATCACAAATGCCAACGTGAAGTGTCCACAGTATTGTTCCCATGTGGGCATTGGCTTGCACACCCTGTGGGAAGCATGCACAATACCTTAAAATGCATCTCTCCTATATGCATTTCCTCCAATACCACTCCTTCATCAAGTAGTCAACAAAACAAGGTCAGATGCTGCCTCAGTAATTCTTATTGCTCCAGCCTAGCCAAGACAGACTTGGTACACTTATCTGATTCAGATGTCCAGAAGGATGCCATGACATATCCCACTGCTTCCTCATCTTCTGACACAGGAGGGTGGCCAGGTTCGTCATCTATCCCTCCAAATTCTTCACCTCCAGGTGTGGTTTCTCAGTAGTTCACTTCAATAAAGATAGCATTCTCTGATCAAGTTAAGCAAACTCTACTAAACAGTTGCAGACTCTCAACCAGGAAATCTTACCTGTATAAATGGTATAGATTCTCGACTTGGTCTGAGCAAAAATGTGGGAACCCATTGACGATCCCGCTTTCACATGTTTTGGAATATCTTCTAGGCCTGAAACACTTGGGTCTTTCATTTAGTTCATTGAAAGTTCACCTTGTGGCTATAACAGCTTTTCATCAGCCCATTGACAACAAATTGCTTTTCACCCATCCAGCAACCAAGCATTTCCTTAAAGGCACGCAGTATACTTTCCCACCTATCAAATATCCAGTCCCAGTCTGGGACCTCAATTTAGTACTCTGGGCCCTCACCCATAGGCTATTCAAACCCATGGCAACATGCTCTACCTTTCTATGAAGGTGACCTTCTTGGTGGCTGTCACATTGGAAATTGGAGCACTTATGGCAAAACCTACTTTATGGTATTCCATTTTTTGAGGAGTAACATTAGTTCGGACTAAGGGCTTTAGTCCGAACTAACGCATCCCGGCGCGCACTTCCTGGTTCGAATCAGCTGTGATTTGAACTAGCGCGCCGGCGAGATCATGTTAATGAAGCGCGGGATATTTAAATCCCCGCTTCATTAACTACTTCGGTCGTCTCCATTTGCATCCCTAGTCTGAACTAGGGATGCAGTGTAGATGTACCCTTATGGATTTTTGCAGATCCGTGATCTACGTGATCTTCTGACCAGATGTTCACCAGACATTATGCTTGTAGGATGAAAATTTCTGAGGCAGAAATTTTCTGTTAAGAACCCAATCTAAATTCAGACCCTGGGAATGGCACATAAACACAGGACATGGTTATTTCCCTTCCCCACCAGTCTAGCCCGTCAAAGGAAAGCCATCACCCAGGATGGGAGGCAGGACAAGACATATTCAATGATGCTAATGTCTCTTCTTTAATCACCAGATATTCACAGACATTCCCAAATGGACCACAGACATATCACAAACCTCTTTCTATGAGGAAGAAGCCTTTTTCCAAAAGAGCTCTTTCAGAAAAAGGTGTGTGTGGACGAAGAAGAGAGAATTCTTTTGAAAGAAGAGGAATGAGGTGCCCTGGTGGCCATTCTGTCCATAGCAATCACAGCTTAAATGCGACATAGCATCCATTCAGTGAGGACGCTATCTTTAAAAAAAAATTGCAAGCAAACCATGTGGCACTCCACCCAGCGCTGCGTGTAGTAAACTTCCGCTTGCTTCACATTCGATGTCCAGATTCCTTCAATGCTCTTGATACTTATCTCTCCCAGGGCACTAGATCTGGCCACACCATTCTGGCCACTGTCCAGGACATTGACTAGCTGAAGCACCCACCTCTGATTATGGGTACTGCTCTATAGTCATCTCAGGTGGAGCACCCACAGGGACACTCCTGGAAGAAGAAGAGAGAGTTGCTCACCTTGTGCAGTAATGGAGGTTCTTTGAGATGGTTGTCCCCATGGGTACTTCACCACCTGCCCTTCCTCCCCTCTGCTTTGGATATAGTTGTTTTTCTCTGGGACAGAGAAGGAACTGAAAGGACGGTTGGCTGTGCATGGGTAGTAGCTGCACCATGTGTGCCGTCTGTTTCACGTGCACGGCCTACTGGAGAGCACTGCTACCAAAAATCTCCAACAGGCACGCTGCAGCGCCCTAAATACCTAGGGTATGTCTAGACTACATGCCTCTGCTGACAGAGGCATGTAAATAGGCTACCCGACATAGTCAATGAAGTGGGGATTTAAATATCCCCGGCTTCATTAAAATAAAAATGGCCACCGCATTGTGCCGGCTCAGCTGATTGTCGGCACAGCGCAGCAGTCAAGACATGGATTTTGTAAACCTCATTTCACCAGTCGACCGCTCCCTTATGCCTTGGATTGTCGGCACAGCGCGCGAGTCAAGACGCGGATCGGTCGACAAGGGAAGCCTTTGTCGACCACTACTGTAAACCTCATTTCACCAGGCATAAGGGAGCGGTCGACACAGGCTTCCCCTGTCGACCGATCCACATCTTGACTGCTGTGCAGTGCCTGGGATCAGCTGAGCTGGCACAGCGCGGTGGCCATTATTAATTTAATGAAGCCAGGGATATTAAAATCCCCACTTCACTGACTATGTCGGGTAGCCTATTTTACATGCCTCTGTCGGCAGAGGCATGTAGTCTAGACACACACCCCAAGGTGGAACACCCATAGGGACAACCATCTTGAAGAACCTCCATTACTGCACAAGGTGAGTAACCCTCTCTTCTCCGAAACAACAGCAAACAACAATCTGACAAAAGCAAGACTGGACAGATGGCATAGCAGACACAGGTTAACATCTATATCATAGGAAGCAACTGAGAACCTACAGGATCTATAATTTGCTGACTGTTAACATTACACTTGTACATATGTGAAGAACCACTACTTGGCCCACTTCCACAGGAAACAAGTAGGGAGTTTTGTGACCTGTTTTCAGTCATTTATGCATGTCCAGTTTATCTACACTCTTCATTGTCGTTAGTCAGATTTTAACTCAGGCTATGTCTACACTACAGAGGTTTTTTTGGAAAAAGGCCATTTTTCAAAAAAAATTCACTTACATCCTCACTGCAATCGTGTTCTTTCAAAAAAAAAATATCCAAAGAACAGAAGGGTTTTTCTGACATTGGTAAACCTCTTTCTATGAGGAAGAAGCCTTTTTCCAAAAGAGCTCTTTCAGAAAAAGGTGTGTGTGGACGAAGAAGAGAGAATTCTTTTGAAAGAAGAGGAATGAGGTGCCCTGGTGGCCATTCTGTCCATAGCAATCACAGCTTAAATGCGACATAGCATCCATTCAGTGAGGACGCTATCTTTAAAAAAAATTGCTTTTTCGATGCGCTTTGGCAGTGTGGATACTCTCTTCCAGAAAAGCTTCTTCTGAAAGAAGACTGCAGTCTAGACATAGCCCCACTAACTGTAACTGAGTCCAGACTGAGAGCAGGTGTCATCTGGACAGTTTGAGAAATCCTGCTCTCAGAGGTCAGGTTTCTGAAGGCTCCTTTCATAATTTTCCATGTTCCCTTAAGTGTTCCTCCATCCCTTCCCTTCATAACTAGCATAAGATAATCGGTGGTACATTATATATGTTTTCTTTTACAGAAGCTCTAAATGAGGTGCAAAACACCATCTATAGAACAGCCCTGAAATTACGCACTGTGCAAATCCTGTGCCAATGTAAGTAGCTCAGAGAGGTCATGGGAGAGGGGAATCTGGAAGAGTCTGAGTTGCCATCATAAATGATACTACTTGCTTTTCTCTAATGCTTTCCATTTGAAGATCTCAAAGATTATCATCAACATTAATGAATTAGTAAATAATACTCATCACATGCATTAGCATCCTTTAATATCCTCGGCTGAAAGGCATGAGGTATCATTATCCCCATTTTACTGATTGACAAACTGACGCACAGAGGGGTGAAATGACTTCCCCAAAATGACAGTTTAGTCCGTTAGTTGGGGGGTAGAGATTAGATTCTACATGTTTTAATAACTAAATGATTTCCCAAAGCCTCACAATACAGACATGACATGGAGAAGCATCATTGTCTCTTTTTGTGTTGTTGTGAATGAAGTACATATAGAACTGTTCAAAGTATTTTCAACAAAAAATCAAAAGTGGATTTTTACTTAAAACAACACTTTCTAAAGAAAATGTTGATTTGATTAACTGTTTTTTGTTTGGAAAATTTTCAAAAGAAATGAGAAAATTGAATTTTATTTTTAAAATATCAGGAAAAAATTTTTCACTTCCTTTTTTTCTTTCTGCATTGCAAAAGCTAAATACATTTTTTAAAATGAAAAAAACCCTGTCTTTTCAATAGAAAATCAAAAAGGAATAAAAGAAAATGGAGAAAAAACTAATTTCTCCTTTCATCTTCCCACTTAATCGTGGAAGCAGGGAGTACAGATATTTATTTTTAAAAATAGCATAACAATTTAAAAAATGTTTGTTTCTTTCTGTTGGAGGGGGGAACCTACAATTGAAGTGAAATATTGGGATTCCACCAGTTCAGCATAACCCTTTCATAGTTTAGCTTTCATTTATTGAAGCTCAGAGGCTAGAACTACTTCTGACCAGAGGAATCCCCAAGGAAGAGAAGCTGATCCTCAAAAGGTACTTATGTACCTGTCAAAGCTGTTTCCCACTTTGGCTCTCCAAGGGCGGAAAGTGGAGGACCGCATGAGACTTTAAAATACCTTGCCACTAAAGGCTTCTGTTTAAAAATTCCTAAGGTCACAGATTCCCTGGCCTTAGATTGGCATTGCTGCCACCACCCAAATACAAAAACCACTTTGAAAACCCAGGAAGGTGTTTTTGGGAATTCCTTCCTGTGGGATACCTTCAAACTCTTTAACCCTCCCCCTGGAGAGAGCTTGAAAAACTGTCAGGCTGTGTCTACACTGGGCCACTTATTCTGGAAAATCAGCCGCTTTTCCGGAATAAGCTGCGAGCTGTCTACACTGGCCCTTGAATTTCCGGAAAAGCAATGACGCTCTACTGTACAAAATCAGCCGCTATTCCGGAAAAACTATTCTGCTCCCGCTCGGGCATAAGTCCTTATTCCGGAACACTGCTCCGGAAAAGGGCCAGTGTGGACAGCCCAGTAGTCTTTTCCGAAAAAAAGCCCCGATCGCGAAAATGGCGATCGGGGCTCTTTTCCGGAAAAGCGCGTCTACATTGGCCACGGACGCTTTTCCAGAAAAATGGCTTTTCCGGAAAAGCAGCCTGCCAATGTAGACGCTCCTTTTCCGGAAAAACTGAAAACGGAATAGTATTCCGTTTTAAGCAATTCCGGAAATTCATGCCAGTGTAGACACAGCCTCAGGGTACGTCTACACTGCCACCCTAGTTCCAACTAGGAGCTTTAGTTCGAACTACCTAGTCCGAGCCACGTGTAGCTGCAGGCAGGTAGTTCGAACTATGGGGCATTTAAAAATGGCGGCGCCCGGGAACATGCAAATAAAGCCCAGGATATTTAAATCCCAGGCTTCATTTGTAAGTTCGAATGCCTACATCGAATGCAGTGTAGATGTACCCTAATTTCTCCTAGCAGTATGGCTTGCAGTCTTAGGCACATGCACACAGAACCTCCTGCCCTCTAGGACACACAAATCAGATGATAGTCCTAAAAAGGTGATTTTTTTAAATTAACAAAACAAAGAAAACACTTGGTGTTTAGTTTTATACCAAGTATTGTAAGTAGCTTTTGTTTCCACATGTGTCATGCATTTTCAATTCAGAAACATTCTTCCATTTGCGATAAAGATGGGACTGATTAATTTCTCCCATTATTTTCCACAGTGGGCTGGACTGATGTCTCCCTGATCCAGCACATCTTGCCAAGCCGCCAGTGTCAGGAGAAGCAGAACTCCCTGACAACTCAGCAGCTATTGCAGTTGCTGAAGGAATTATTCCAGAAAGCTAAATTAGAGAACCCAGGCCAGGTAGATCCACAGGGCCCTGAGCACACCCTGAACTTGATAGTTTCCATGTATGACAGGTGAGAGCAAGAGTTCATCTACACTGTAATAACGCCCATTCCCATCCCCTCCTGCCATGTTCAGTGAGAAACTATCCATCTCCCAGTTCAAAAGGTGCATATTATTTAAATTATATATAGCAATTAAATGGGTTTTACCCATGAAAGCTCATGATCCTATATGTTTGTTATAGTCTCTTAGGTTCACATTTGCACTGCACCCTTACCTTGAAATAAGCTACGTAATTTCTAAATAAAGCACTATTCAGAAACATCCCTTAATCCTTGTGGGACAAGGTTTACAGGGACATCAGAATAGGGAGCCCATTATGTTCCAAAATAACAGGCGTGATGAAAAGGCGTGGAATAGCTATTTCAGGATACATCCAGTATTCTGAAATAGCGCCACAGTGTAGACATAACCTAAGATGCCACCGGACTACTCATTGTTTTTATTGTAAAATGGGTTTAGCTTCAAATGTGGATTAAGTATAGGCTTAAGGTTTGGGATTCAGGTCAAAGTTGAAAGGGCTTAAGGTTCAGGTCGGGTAGCATAAAAAATTGCAGACTTGTTCTCATGAGCTTTCAGGCCAAGTTGGTGGAAATCTCATCAACTCTGCTGCTTTTGCATAATTTCTGCCATTTTGAATCAACCCCCTCGATGGCCATCTCAGCCAAGAGCTAGAGACTGAAAAGCAGCGAAGGCTGATCTCTTCAACCTTAGAAGCAGTGCTTCCAGGTGAGGGTTGAGGCACATTGGCAGAGCAATGCAGGGAAGACTGTACATTGGCTGCCCGCTCTGCAGTGATTTAGTCTGATAGAATAATTCACTCTCCAGTTCTGGTGAACTTCACCCACCAATCCCTGTTATTAAATAGAATAAACACAAAGTTCACAAACAGCAACACAAAAGGGAAACGTACAAGTGAGTTTTGAGAGAAAGAAGATCTGGAGAAGCTTTTTTGGTGTTTGAACAACCTCAGTCATGCTATAAAAAAGCAATAATTATGTGCAATAAGGGCTGAACCTATAGGGTACGTCTAGACTACCGGGTTTTGTCGACAGTATCTGTCGACAAAACTTCTGTCGACAAAGAGCGTCCAGACACATTGAGTTCTGTCGACAAAGCAAGCTGCTTTGTCGACAGATCCCTGTAGTCTAGACGCAACCCTAAAGGCAATAACACCTTCTGTCGACAGAACTCAGCGGTAGTGTAGACGCTGGTATAGTTTTGTCGACAAAAGTCCACTTTTGTCGACAAAACTCAGTAGTCTAGACACACCCATAGTGGCTTTCTATGCCTCGAAGAAATTTAGTGCTATGTTACATGGCATAAACTGTGAGGCTGTGTCTAGACTGGCAAGTTTTTCCGCAAAATCATCTGCTTTTGCGGAAAAATTTGCCAGCTGTCTACACTGGCCGCTTGAATTTCCGGAAAAGCACTGACAATCTCATGTAAGATTATCAGAGTTTTTCCGGAAATACTATACTGCTCCCGTTTGAGCAAAAGTTTTTTTCCGAAAGACTTTTGCGCAAAAGGGCCAGTGTAGACAGCACAGTACTGTTTTCCACAAAAAAGCCCCGATCGCAAAAATGGCGATCGGGGCTTTTTTGCGGAAAACTGCGTTTAGATTGGCCACGGACTCTTTTCTACAAAAAGACTCTTTCCTGCCAATCTAGACGTGCTTTTCCGAGAATGCTTTTAACGGAAAACTTTTCTGTTAAAAGCATTTTCAGAAAATCATGCCAGTGTAGACGTAGCCTGAATGTTCTGTGCAGATCTTACTTGAGAAACTGAGGGATGGTGAATTGGAAAGGTGGATGAACCTCATTTGCTGTTCACTGGACTAAAAAGAAATGCCCAACCTGTAGAGTGACAAGAAGACAGAGTGTGCACTGACAGCAATGGCTGTGCTGACAGCTGGTTTTTACTAACAAGGAAGCCATGGAGCTGAACTCATTTTAATCATGGTGGGAAATTAATGCAAAATTTCACTAATGAACACAAGGCTTTTCAGACAGTTTTGCAAAAATTCTCAGTCATTCAGTTTGACTCTGCTAACACCTCATTCTCCAGTTTAAAAAGTTTGTCATCTATTCATAAGCAGAATCAATCAGGCACAAAAGAAAAAAACTAAGTTCATTATTTAATTTATTCACAGTGAATGGAAAGCACCCCATGCAAAGGTCCAGAACAAAACCTGTGCACCACATAAGCCTTCAAAAACAAATTACGTGATTCATAGTATTTTTACTATCCCTCTTGAATTTTCCATAATGAATAAGTTGAGCTGCTCTGTTTGTAATTCCATATGATGAACTGCTTACAGAAATCATCTGAAGGTTAACTAAAATCTACTGCATTTTGGAACACAATGAGAAATAGCAGCAATATTTTCTAAGCTTCATACTCTAAGTACGAACAACCCAAGGGAAATTGCATAGAAGAATCTCCATTACAAGATTGACTTGGTCCCTTTTTGCAAGCCATTTTCTGCCTTCCTAAGACTAGGCAGCGCAAGGAAAGTGATCCAAAGATGAGTCCAGACTCCACATCAACTTGCTTGAGCTTTGAGCAGTTCACAACATGTGCAAGCACTTCCTTCCACATATTCGAGGATCTTCAGTGAGTATCCTTACAGACAATATGACCATGCTGTTTTACATCAACCGCCAAGGGGGTGCAAAATACCCTTCGCTATGTGCAGAGGAGATCCGGCTTTGGAATTGGTGTATCTGCCACAACATAACCATCATGGTGGCATACTGACCTGAGGACAAGAATATCATGGCTGATACCCTCAGCCTCAACTTTCTCACAGAACATGAATGGGACCTACACAGTCAGATTACCCACAATCTGTTCCAATACTGGGATCATCTGCAAATAGACCTCTTTGCAACTAGCCAAAATTCCAAATACACCCAATATTGTTCGAGAGCAGACATAGCATATGGCTCCTTGGGAGACATAATGTTCCCCAGAGTTCTCTGGAAGATATAGACTCATAGACTTTAAGGACAGAAGGGACCATTATGATCATCTAGTCTGACCCCCTGCATAGTGCAGGCCACAGAATATAGACAGATGGGGCCCATGTAATTCTAATAGCCCCAGCATGGCCTCAACCAACATGGTTCCCATGTCTTTATTAACTATCTCTATGACCTCCCTACCTGCTTCTGACCTGCCTGGATCTCCTCTCCCAGAACAAGGACACGACACTTCATCACTAGCCGCAAACACTGCACCTGACAGCATGGTATCGATCTGGTTCTCAGAAGTGGAGCAACAGTGCTCCCAACTGTGCTCCATAGCAGGAGACAAATGACATGCAAGACTTACCTGTACAAATGGCAATGGTTTACACAGTGGCACAGACAGAAGGGAGTCCAACCATCTATGGCTCTGCTCTATTTGATACTAGAATACATCAAGAACCTGAAACAACAAAATTATCCCTTTCATTACTCTGAGTTCACCTGACTGCGATTATAGCCTTCCACCCCCTGCTCTCCCATTGATGGGTTCTCTATATTTGCCCATCCCATCTTCAAGAGATTTTAGAAGGGTCTACAGAACCTTCACCCACCATATATATCCGTACCTCCCATGTGGGATTTAGAATTGGTCCTCCACTCACTCACAAAACCACCCATCAAGCCAGTGGCAGCTTCATCACTTACCCAAAGTTGGTTCCAAATTTCATATCAATGAACCAATAGTTCTTCTCACCTTCTACCTGAAACGACATTGCTTCAGGGACAAAGCCATATTGCATATTCTGGATGTCAGAAGGGCCATTGCCTTCTACCTAGATAGGACTCAGCCCTTTCAACTATCCCAGATATTGCTGGTATCCATGGCCAAAAGGTCCAAGAGAAAACCACTTTCATCCCAGCACATATTAAAATTGATAACATCCTGTATTACTACCTGCTATTCACTACAGAATAGAGCATTACCGACGATACCCAAAGCCCATTCCACCAGAATGATGGCAATGTCAACTGCCATATGCAATTCCACCATGCTTGACAACAGATACTGCAGTAGCCAGAGCCTGTAACAATTAGCCAAAGCCCACCTTCCATCTAAATGGGCACTGCTGCACAGTCACCAACAGTGGACCACCTTCAGGGACATCCCTGGGAGAAGAAAGAGAAGTTATTCACTCTGTGCAGTAACCATGGTTCTTCAAGATGTGTGTCCCCGATGTGTGTCCACTACCTACCACCCTCTCCACTTCTTCAGGTATTAATAATCTGCCCAAAGGACATCAAAGAAGAAACAGAGGGGAATTGGGTTACGCACACTAATTTCAAAGGTGGGAACACCTCTCACACATGCGCTGCCCAACTGGACACTGCTCTAAAAGTCTCCAATCCGTGGCAGCAGGATGAGCCTGACACCAATAGTGGAGCACCTATGGGGACACACATCTCGAAGAACCATCGTTACTGCACATAGTGTGTAACTTCTCTTTCCACATTTATGGTCTCTCAGAGATTCCAAATGTATTCAGTTTAAAAAAAGAAAAATGATTAACTGCCCACCTGCCCAACTGTGTCCTTTCTGGCCTATACAGTTAAGGTACGTCTACACTTGCTCCCTAGTTCAAGCTAGGGATGCAAATGTAGGCGACCGAAATTGCTAATGAAGTGGGGATTTAAATATCCTGCGATTCATTCGCATGATCTCGTCGGCGCGTTACTCCACTCAACAGCTGATTCAAACCAGGAAGTAAACACCGGGTCTTGTTAGTTTGAACCAAATTTGGTTCAAACTAACAAGACCCGGTGTTTACTTCCTGGTTTGAATCAGCTGTTGAGTGGAGTAACGCGCCGACGAGATCATGCGAATGAATCGCAGGATATTTAAATCCCCACTTCATTAGCAATTTCGGTCGCCTACATTTGCATCCCTAGCTTGAACTAGGGAGCAAGTGTAGATGTACCCTTAGAGCTTAGGCTCCCAGCCTGCCTATCTGTAAGCCTATGAAGAGTCCCACTGACATTTGTTGGTATCTGCTCAATCACTAGGACCTCCCACACAGATCTGTTGGACGATGGACCAAGTTAAGACTTTTGATGATACATAAAACACTGTCAGGCCCCAAGCATAATTTTCTGGACACAGTACAAACTTGTAAGATGGGCCCCCTCACATATACATACCACAATTTGCAAGCTGGGCCTTTTCTGTATCCTTTTTCCCCTTTGTCCCCTCCATTACTGTCCCACAGCTGCCTGGGCTCCACTGGAGTCAAATATAGTAAAAACTTGGGGAAGGGGGGCTACAGTTAAATAAAGCAGATCTGAAACATGCCTACTGAGTAAGAGCATGCCAATTTATAGGCACCTTTCACAACTGAATCATGTTTTACAACAGTGTTTCAGATGAGACATCATTTTGTTAATTTTTGTGATATAACAGTGTAAAATCTAAGGCGAAAATCTACTTAGATTGTAACCTTTGTGCGTGTGTGTTCATACAGAGCCTGGCACAGTGGAGCTCTGGTCCATGGCTATCTCCTAAGCACTGCCCAGTGCAGAATAAATATGGTATATCAAAGCATGTACATATAAAAGGACCTGGATTTGTATGAGATTTTCTTCCAATATAACAATGGATTTTGCACTAGTAGATTTAGCTTTCATGTTCCTAGCTTTATTTTTATCTTCTTCTAGGAGTGGAACAGGTTTTATCAAAGCCAGATCAGCTGCAGCTGCCCTAATTGCTCTCTCAGGAGACAGTCTGCTTACTAAATACAAAGGTGGGAAAAACAGACTTTTAAACATTGCCTAAAGTACTATGTACTGAGTGCTGGCCAAGTCTCCAATGTGTTTTATTTTTACACAAAAAGAAAACAGTATCCTAGTGTTCATGAATGTAAGTATGTGGGGCAAAAATGTACTGCCTTACTGTAGGAAAAAGGTTCCTGCACAAGAGTTATGTCCATCCACCCATCAATTATTATTACATAACTAGCCAATTAGCCTGTCATAAGACAGGATTTTCAGGTCTCTCCTCCACGTCGGTCTTCTCTCCTGAGCCTCCGGTCTCTCGCTCCGTCTCTTTCTCTCTCTCTCCTTCTCCTCCTGCCTTCCCCTCTCTCTCTCAGCTCTCCTCCGCCTTCTGCCTCTCTCTGTGTCTCTCCCTTTCTCTTCTCCCCATCCTGCCTCTCGCTCTCTCTCCGCTCTCCTGTCTCCATCGGGGATGCATGCTCATCCAGGCCCCACCCCCTGGGCATGTATGTCACCGCCCCGCCCCCCTTCGCCTCCCGCCATGGTGCTCGGCTGACTTCTGTGCCACTTAGCCGGGCCACCGCGCAGGAGCAAATGGCCTCTCTCTCTCTTCTCCTCCTACTGCCTCGCCCTCTCTCTCTCTCATCTTTTGTTCGCCTCCTGCCTCTCTCTCCTTCTCTCTCTCTTTCTCTTCTCCCCCTCCCGCCTCTCACTCTGTGTTTCTCTTCTCCTCCTCCTGCTGCGTCTCTCTCACTTTCTCGCTGTCCTCCACCTCCTCCGTTCTCTTCTCTGTCTCCTTCGCATCCGCTCCGCTTTCCTCGTTTTGAATCCAGCGCCCTTTCCTGACGTCAGAGATGCACGCTCGTCCGGGCCCCGCCCCATGGCTGTTCCCTCTGGGCGGCGCTGTTGCCCCCCGCCATGGTGCTCGGCTGACTTCTGCGCCGCTCAGCCAGGCTGCCGCACAAGAACAAGCAGCGGAAGCGGCTGTTTGGGCCCCACGCTCCCCATGCAGCATCCCCATGCTGCTTGGGGAGCGCAGACCCCAAGCAGCCGCTTGCATTGCTTGCTCCCACACGGTGGCCCAGCTGAGCAGCGTAGAAGTCAGCCGAGCACCATGGCGGGGGGCAACAGCGCCGCCCAGAGGGACCCGCCGGGGTTTCAGCGTTACAGAGTCACAGACATTGGGCTACTATATAGATGATACCCTTCGTGTATGCATCTCAGAACAAATCACAGACAACGTGCCAGTGCCGGTAGTTTTCTTGATAGTGGCACCCAATTGTTGCCATGCAGCTTTTGTTGGAAATAAGCTACATTAAGAATCTGCCTTCTCTGGTCCTTTCCAGCTTTCTTTCAACTCTATGCTGACCCCAGTGGGAGAGAGACCCTGATCACTCAGAGCGCCATGAAGAGCCTGCTGACAGACTTACACCAGGTAATGTCATCGCTATTCTATAAGTGAAATGAGAAAATGCACATGACAACGTGTAGTCAAGTGATCCATCCTTCCTGTTTCAAGTGGGGGGGATGGGGACTATTCCTCACTTTGTTGTGCTATAGCTAAATAAAGCAGCAAGTTCCCAGCCTGCAGCTGTGAACTGAGAGTTTGTTTTGTTGGATTGAGTCACTTTACAAAACTAACTGAAGTCAGGGGGGCTCCATCTAAGCAAAGGGATCTACCATGCAGACCCATTGTTGGATCATGGCTTCAATGTCTAAACCTGTCTTTACACAGTCGAAAATCCCATTCATATCACTGTCGCTGTGGCTCAAATTTTGGCTCAATTTATGGTAGCCAGCCCCTGTAAGTAATTTCAAGAGCATGGAGTTGCACCTATGTAGAATCCTGCATAGTGTTAGCCTCCTTGGTGTCAAAAGGGGCTTCATGCAGGCAATGTCCATTTCCTGGAGCTGCTTTCTGGGTCCAGACCATAGCTACTTGGACTGTAAGCTCCTTGAGGGAGGGACCTTCTTTTGTTCTGTATTTGTCCAGGGCCTTGCACAATGGAGTCTTGGTCTCTGTCCGGGGCTCCCGTGGGGCTATGATAATACAAATAATAAGGAGCAGCAGCAAAGAGGCATTGCTCATTGGCATGGCTCTGAGAATGGCCTCCAAGAAGTGCTCAGCCAGGAGATGGTCTCAGGTGCGAGGGCGAAGGTGGGAATTTTCTCACTTCACTCTGTTTAGGAAAACATGAAATAAGTCTATGCTGGAATAAAAGAGAGTCTGTCCAAATACTGGGTCCATCGCTCTAAACCAACAGCACGAATTACTAGACCAGAGGCGTCATGACACATACTCAGGTTTGAAATTACACTATTGTCATGTCTCTACATTGAAACAGTCTTTCCCCAGCACAGGAAGTAAATGGTTTTTCCACTGACAGTTTCCCATATATGCTGTCACCACCTACGTATTACACGGTGGTGGCAGCTGTCTTTTATTATGGCATTTTTGAACAGCTGTCTTTCTTCCTGATGTAGATCCCAGCTGCTGTGGGGGAAAGCTGTGGTCTGTCTTGTGTGGAAATTGCTATTCAAAGCTGCTTCCATGGGGTAAGTGGAATTCAGATGACTCTGGGAAATGACAATTGAAATTACCAGTATAGCACATTACAACAATTAAAGTTACCTGATTTGAATGGGCAAGCTTGCTTCCCAGCTCCAGATGATAAACATTTGACACCAATAGAGAATACTCAGAATGGTATTAGCATGGACCCCTCCCTGCATCTCTGTGGAGACCCTTTGAAAGCAGTGATATTTTATATGGGTGGAGTCTATGCTGCCATATCCTGATCATGGTTTATATTATCAGCTGTGACAGACGCAATAATTCTGTTTAAATACATGACAGAACCAGAGGTTGATATTTTTCCAGGTTCTGAACTCAGCAATAGGTGAAGAGAAATTCCTATCTTGGCTACGATCTGAACCTGGCCTTCTTCTGTGGCTTCCTACATGTCATAGATTATCAGCCACTGAAATGGTTACACATCACATTCGATGTAGCATCTGCAAAAGTTTCCCCATCACTGGGCTAAGGTACAGCATACTTACTATGTAAAGTATTATTTGAAGTGTGTAGAGATCAGCAGAGATCAGGACCCCATCGTGGTAGGCATTTTACACGGACATAGTGAGAGATAGAGAGTGTCTACTCTGCAAGCCATTATTTTGAAATAATGGTGAGCTGGAGGACTTCTTGCTCCGACTCCTGTAACCCTCATTTTATGAAGAGTAAGGGAAGTCAAGGGAAAAGTGTTCTTTTTGCGCAAGAGTTAGTCCTCTTTTTACGAGCTCTTATGCAAAAAGGTGTGTGTCGACGGCAAACAGGGGTTTCTTGCGCAAAAACAGCCTATCAGAAAAAGCACAGGTGCTCTGATGGCCTTTCTGTTAATGGCAATCAGAGCTTTCTTGTGCAAGAGCATCCATGCAGTGTGGACGTTCTCTTGCGCAAGAAGCTTTTGCAGAAGATCTTTTCCGAAAAAAGGTTCTTGCACAAGAAGTCTGCAGTGTAGACGTAGCCTGAGTCAATGTCAGTGCTGCACACTCTGGTTGTAATCGGGACCTGATACAGAGACAAGCCTAGGCCTGGACCACCACGTTCCCCTTGCAAGCAGTGTTTCCATTCTAGACGGACATCATACCAGATGCCCCCTCGCAGCTAGGAATATAAATAATTGTTTAATTAGTTAACTGGTTAAACAACTAAAATATTCACATTTAACCAGTTAATCCCCTGCCCAACTTGGGTCACTCCATCACAGCTGGGGCCTGGGAGGTCCTACCAGCCTGCCCACCATTTATGGCCTTTCCTTCCAGCCTGGCAGTCTATCACTTCACATTGGTAGACTCTCAGTATGATGGAGCATGTTATAGCCTACAGCTCCCTGGATCCAGAAGATGGGTACATGGCCCTTAATCTCAAGGACGAAGTCAGGGTCTGACTTCAAAAAGATTTTGGAAAAGGGAAAAAATGACATTTTCAAGCCAGAAAATTTCAATTATGAGTCAAAAAGTTGTTTTGTTTTAAAGTTGTAATATATTTAGTCTAAAAGGTTAAAAAATCAAAAAGGTCAGAATCACATTTAAAAATTATCAACATGCAATGTTTCAGTTTTTCAGTTTGTGAAAATTCAAAGTTTGCAATATCTCAAATTTTCTTGAACCAAGAAAACTGTTGTCTGCCCGGCTCTGTCTATATTGTCAAACATTAGTGGATGTTGATTTCCAAGATCCCATTTCTTATATATGAAGTTGCCAGTCCTTGGAGGTTAATCTTATTCTTTCTGTTTCTCCTAACAGGTATCGCTGTCTGAAGTGCCTAAATTTTGATCTTTGCCAAGTCTGCTTCTTCACTGAGCGTCACAGCAAACCACACAAGAGGTCACACCCTGTGATGGAATGCTGTGTGCAGGTATCATCCCAATTCACTTGCCCTGTTGGTGTGGACAGTAGGGGTATGAATGTTTAACCAGCTAACAGGTGGGGGCTGCACCTCAAAAAAGATATTTTGGCCTTAGAAAGGGTTCAGCAAAGGGCAACTAAAATGATTAGGGGTTTGGAACGAGTCCCATATGAAGAGAGGTTAAAACGACTGGGACTTTTCAGTTTAGAAAAGAGGAGACTGAGGGGGGATATGATAGAGGTCTATAAAATCATGAGTGGTGTGGAGAGGGTGAATAAAGAAAAGTTCTTCTTCGGGTAGTCCCCGTGGGTGCTCCACGTCTGGTGTTGGGCTGGTCCTGGTGCCGCAAATCGGAGCTTGCCAGAGCTGTGTGTGGCCGGACCGCGTGTGTGCGAGCCAGTTTCACGCCTTTCATCTGCCGCGCGCGGTCCGGCGCCCGCCAGTTCTTCTCATCCGCTTTGGGTTGCAGACGGAGCTCCCCCTTTCTCCTCAAACAGAGGTTCCCCTTCTCCTTCAGGCAGCTACCTGAGGGGAAATTTGAAAAGAATAAAGCCGTTCCTCATTTAGCCCGAGTTGCGGGCTCCTTGTTTAAAAAAAAAAAAAAAAAAAGGAAAAGGAAAAGAAACCAAAAAACTGAGAAGAAACAGTTCTACTTCTATGTAGTGATACTGTTGTTTTCTGTTAGCTACTGTTTTTACCTCCATTGACTCCTCGTTTTAAAAAATATATATATATACATAGACAAACCCGAACAAACAAACCGAAGAGAGACGTTTCTCCTCATTCACTGCCCTCCCCATTATCTTTAGTGTTTAACTTAAAAGAAAGAAAGAAAGAAAGAAAGGAAGGAAGGAAGGAAGGAAGGAAGGAAGGAAGGAAGGAAGGAAGGAAGGAAGGAAGGAAGGAAGGAAGGAAGGAAGGAAGGAAGGAAGGAAGGAAGGAAGGAAGGAAGGAAGGAAGGAAGGAAGGAAGACCTTTGTAATAAAGAAGTACAAGCAAAAAAAAAGCCGGTGACAGACAAAAAGCGGCGGCACTTAGGGGGCGCGAACTCTCAGCCCTTTCAGAGTGCAAAAATGCCGGGCTCCCCGGGCTTTTTAAAATATGCCAGATGCGCTGAGCCAATGCCGGTGTCAGACGGGCACTCGGCTTGTGTCCGCTGTCTTGGGGAGCACATATCCCCCAGAAGTGCACCCACTGGGGCAGCTTGAAGACCAGAGCCTGCAAGGAGCGGGAGAGTCGTTTAAAAGAGATCCTGTTCAATAAGGCTCTCATGCCGTCCACTGCCTCAGGATCCTCTGCCTCAGACCCCACGGCTGAGAAGCGGAAGGCTCCTTCTGAGGCTGTGCCTTCACCTAAAAGGAAGAGAGCCTCCCGCTCATTCCCTGCCAGCTGCTCCGCAATCGCGGGTGAGCGCAAGTGATAAGCCGGGTACCTCGGGCTCGAGGGTAACCCGTGCTCCTATTGCAAAGAAGCCGGCCGGCATTCCCCGATCTCGGCAGCCCTCGGCACCAGGGCTTCTTAAAGAGCCAGCTACAGCGGCACCGGACTTGTTGGCACCGAGTGCTGAGATGCCTGCAATCACTGCTCCTCCCAGGGAGCTGTCTTCAGCACCCGCAGGGGAACACCATACTCCTGCCCAGATGCTTCCTTCTGAGCCTTTAACCCTTCAGTCTCCAGGCTCTGCACAGCTTCCAGCAGCATCAGGAAGTCTCCCTGCGTACCTCACCGGGTTTTTCTCGGGACCCATCTCCTCACCCTTGTGCTTCTACACGCCATACAAGAGATCACAGGGAATATCATCAGCGAAGTCTTTCATCTCGTCACCATTATTATAGAGAGCGTAGCTGTTCACACCAGAGATGCTCTAGATCTCGTTCTCCTACAAGACGCTCACGCTCACCGACTCGTTCACCACGAAGCACCTATTATGTCAGGTATAGCAGTACTAGGTCTTCTAGACGTTCGTCACCTGCAGGGTCTGACCGACGTTATACCCACCATCATAGACCTTACTATATTGAATCATCTCATCGCAGTCATTCTTGTCGGTCAATTAGCCCACACTCTGTGCTTTCAGAGATTCTCAAACACTCTCCGCTACGACGTACGATACCTTCTCGTTCTCCGATACCCCGATCACAAATGTCAGACCTAGAGGAAAGGCAACTCTCAGAAACTGACCCGGGCATGTCTCCTAATGCCTGCTCATCTGTGCCTTCTAGGGATGAACCGGTGTCTCTTGGCGAAACGTCACCTCTGGACGATCTTAAAGAATTCCAAGACCTATTTAAATGTGTCGCGCAATATCAGGAGGTACAACTTACTGAATCCCAGGTTAAACAGCATAAGTTATTCAAGAATTTACACCTTTAACAACAATGAAAGATTGCCCTCCCGATAGATGATGCTATCATGGAGGTAGCACAGGACATCTGGCAGACGCCAACATCAATACCGCCCACCAATAAAAAAGTGGATAAAAAGTATTTTGTCCCATCCAAAGGTTTGGATTTTCTGTTTAATCACCCACAGCCAAATTCCCTGATAGTGGATGCTGTTCGCCATAAGAGTAAGATGCCCCAATTTAAAACTTCCCTACCGGATAGGGATACAAAGAAATTGGACTATTTTGGCCGAAAAGTTTACTCCTCCTCAACCTTGCTACTGCGGGTTGCCTATTATGCTGCTCTTTTGTCAAACCATAACTTTGACAATTACTCCAAGCTCCCGGAACTTATGCAACATCTCCCTGACAATAAGAGGTCTCTCCTTAAAGCCGTTGTCCAGGAAGGGTTCACTGCATGTAGAACATCGCTTCAGATCACTGCGGACATTGCCGACACAGCCGCTCGAGTGATGGCAACAGGTATCGCGATGAGAAGAGCTTCCTGGTTATTGTCAGCGGGAGCCCCTAAGGAGTTGCAGTCCAAAGTGGAAGATTTACCATTTGACTGTCAAAAGCTGTTTGCTTCCACTACCGATGAGGTTCTCCATTCTGGCAAGGACTCTCGTACTACCCTTCGGTCTCTAGGGATGTACACGCCACCTTTCAAACGCAGGCAGTACTATCCCTTTCAAAGGAGATATGATTATTTCTCCTATAAGCAGCAACAGCAGCGTGGATCTGACCAACCTAGATTTAGACAGCGCCATCAACGCAAACGTCAGCAGCAAAATCGCTCTTCAGCTCGGCCTCCTCAGAAGCAGCAGGTTTGACTCCTATGCGGGGGACGCGAACACATCTCCACTGGTCAACACACTAAAGCCTGCCACCACCTTATTCCACCACCGCCTGAGGTCATTTCTTCATCAATGGGCCACCATTACCTCGGACCAATGGGTCCTAGAAGTCATATCATCAGGCCTAACGATCCCGTTTGCCTCAATTCCCCCTACTACTCCTCCCACCCCCTCCCTTCTCAGGGACCCATCTCACGGGGCCGCTCTTTGGGAAGAAGTTTTTCACCTGCTCAAGATCGGAGCCATAGAGCGAGTACCCGACGAATTCCGGGGGAAAGGGTTTTACTCCAGGTATTTCCTAGTTCCCAAGAAAAGAAAGCCGGGGGAGGGGGGGTGGAGGGGGGGGTGGAGACCCATCCTCGATCTGAGGGGTCTAAATCATTTCATCCAAAAGCAGCGCTTCAAAATGACCACGCTGGCCAAGATCATGCCAGTACTAAACAAAGGAGACTGGTTCGCAGTCCTAGATTTGCAAGATGCATATTTCCATGTGACAATACACGTAGCGCACAGGCGTTTTCTGAGGTTCGTAGTGGGCAACGACCATTTTCAATACAGGATACTGCCTTTCGGCCTCATCTCAGCCCCAAGGGTGTTCTCCAAAACGCTGGCGGTAGTGGCTGCCCATCTATGCAGAACAGGAGTCTCCATTTTCCCCTACCTCGACGACTGCCTCATCAAGGGACACACCCAGTCAGAGGCACATCACATGGTGGTCGCAACTCGGGATCTGTTCAACTCCCTTGGCCTTATTGTGAACATTCAAAAATCACGTCCGCAACCTACACAAATTCTAAACTTCATAGGAGCGCGTCTCAACTCCCAGTCAGAAAGAGTTCATCTGCCAGTCGAGCATTTTCAACTAATACAAGACCTGATAAAAACAGTCTTGCAAGCTCCAACACTCCCAGTACGCGTATGCCTCCAGCTTCTGGGTCATATGGTGTCGACTACAATCATAGTGCGCCATGCAAGGCTACTCCTCAGGTGTCTGCAGCATTGGCTAAGCACGGTATACAATCCTACCAGGCACAGCATCCGCAAGACCGTGGTGCTTCCGACACATGTCAAAGACTCCCTCTTATGGTGGACCGATCACAACAACATGCTGTCAGGAGCCCCCTTCCACGCACCGCAGCCGTCAGTGGAGATAACCACAGACGCTTCTCTCATCGGCTGGGGTGCCCACATGGGCGCAAAAACAGTTCAGGGCCGCTCGTCCACGATGGAGATGATGCTCCATATCAACCTTCTCGAGCTCCGAGCGGTGTTTTGTGCCTGCAAACACTTCAAGTTACACATAAGAGGCACTGTCACCAGAATTCTCACAGACAATGTAGTGGCGATGTATTATGTGAACAGACAGGAAGGTGCCCGATCCCGTTCACTTTGTGCAGAAGCTATCCGCTTCTGGAACTGGTGCATTTCTATAGTCTCATCATACTTACTGGGTGCGAACAATACCACTGCGGATGCACTGAGCAGACATTTCCCTCAAGACCACGAGTGGGTTATCCGCACGGATGTCCTCTTACCTCTCTTCCATCGGTGGGGCTTTCTGGTGATAGATCTCTTCGCCACACATGCCAATGCGAAATGCAGAGCTTACTGTTCCGGAGCAGGAGTGGGTGATCACTCTCTGGGAGATGCATTTCTCCTTCATTGGGGCACATCACTCTTATATGCATTCCCCCTTGTTGTACTCATTCCCAGAGTACTCGAGAAGATCGTGATGGACAGGGCACGAGTGATACTCATAGCCCCAGCGTGGCCCAGACAGCCATGGTACTCAACTCTTCTGCAGCTCTCCGTACGAGCACCACACCAATTGCCTTACCTACCGGACTTGCTCACACAACAGAAAGGCTCCCTTCTTCACCCGAAGTTGGATACTCTGCACCTGACTGTGTGGATGATACATGGTTCAGCGCGTCCGAGAATCTTTGTTCGGACCAGGTGAAGCGTGTTCTCTTACACAGCAGGAGGGATTCCAGCAGGAAAACTTACCTGTCCAAGTGGTCTAGATTTGTGCGCTGGTGCGCTCCTAAGCTTCTAGACCCTCTTGTTTCACCACTACATGTGTTACTGGACTATGTCCTCCAGCTACAGTTGACTGGACTCTCCATCTCATCACTTAAAGTCCATGTGGCGGCGATAGCTGCTTTTCACTACCCCGTTGAAGGCAAGTTGGTGTTTTCCCATCCCATGATGACTAGATTTCTCAAAGGATTGGCTAACCTTAACCCACCACGTAGGCCTCTGCCACCTGCATGGAGTCTTGACTTGGTGCTTGATGTCCTAACTCGACCGCTGTTTGAACCATTGGCCACGGTACCCGTGTTGATGCTTACAATGAAGATACTCTTTCTTCTTGCCATAACATCGGCACATAGGGTGAGCGAATTAGCCGCACTGATGTCAACACCTCCCTATACAGTTTTTAATGCAGAATCAGTGATACTGAGATCTCATCCAGCCTTTCTACCTAAAGTCTGCACAGATTTTCATATAAATGAACCAATCATTTTGCCATGTTTCTATCCAAAACCTCATACCTCTCAGCGTGATGCTCTTCTGCATACGCTGGATGTTCGTAGAGCCTTGGCATTCTATATAGATAGAACCCGTACTCTGCGTAAGACGGATCGCCTCTTCATTTCAACATCAGGGCCTTCTAGGGGCATGCCCTTATCAGCCCAGCATATTTCTAAACTGGTTGTCTCTTGTATTACGACTTGCTATACTATTTGTAAAAGCCGCTCACATCACAGCCTAGGGCCCACTCAACACGAGCAGTTGCTGCATCTGCAGCTTTCGTGAAAGGAGTCTCTCTGCGGGACATCTGCCAGGTGGTGACTTGGTCTTCTACTTCCACCTTTTCAAGGCATTATGTAATTGTTCAGCACTTCTCCTCTGACTCAGCGGTAGCCTTAGCAGTGCTGCCTAGCGTTCAGAATCCTGATTCTGAAGCCCACGTCTAACTGAGATTACTGCTTCGGAGTCACCAGATGTGGAGTACCCACGGGGACTACCCGAAGAAGAAGAGGAAGTTACTCACTTCGTGCAGTAACGATGGTTCTTCGAGGTGTGTCCCCGTGGGTGCTCCATGACCCGCCCTCCTCCCTGCTTCGGAATCTTGTCTTTCTGTCTTTCAGATAGGTGGTGAGACGAACTGGCGGGCGCCGGACCGCGCGTGGCAGATGAAAGGCGCGAAACCGGCTCGTGCGC